CAGGGGCACACATCCTCCCAGTCCAGGAGATTTTTGGACATACCTTGCATGCGCTGAGAGAGAGGATCAGGCCCAGCAGAATTCTTGGATAACGAAACTCATCCTACTTCTTTCTTAATCCTCTTAGTGCTTTATTCTGAATATTTCAGCAGCTGACTGGGTCGGTTAGAAACCTGACTTTGCTGATGTTTATAAAGTATAATTAAATATTGATGAATTCAGCAGCATTGCCAAATCATAAAGCTTCTTGAGAAACTCTTTTTTTTTTTTTTTCTTTAATTTTATTTATGATCCCAAAAAATCCCCATGGCTTTCAAAAGAAGAGAAAAAAGATAAAAGTAATTCAATTATATAGCATACCTGGAGAATAAGGGATTTATTGCTAAGTAAATACGATCATGCAAACCCAAAAATGGCCCGGAGATATAATTAAGTTACTCAGGAGTCAGTTGATCTCAGGAGACTTTCTTGACATTTAGGCTGGAAAACTAATTGAGATCGGTGCTGCATATAATGTGGGAACACCATAAGCAGTTTGCAACTGCCTCTTTTTTGGAAAGACAAAAGGCTTTCCAGCTAAAATCTTTAGAATTGAAACATTTCAATGAACATTTCCACTTCTGGATGCTAATTTGAACTTCTTTTATGGTGTCGTTTGAATGGTTCTTGTGGCCTTAGCTGGGCCTTGTGACCTGTAACAGAAGTTATCAGAGTTGTAACTATTTTTAATTTAAGCTTGATCATCCGATGTCTGTTACAAAACTCACCAGTACTTTGGAATGACTCATTCTGAGGGAGAAAAAAAACAACAGAATCACCTTCTTTGCTTTGAACATATAAAGAATTTGTTCTCCAGCCTCCACCTTTCCCTCCTCAGGTCTTTCTCCTTCTCCTCCTGTGTTGCCTTTCCCTTTCACTGACTCTAACTCTGCTAACTTAATCTCTAGTGATTTCTCTGAACTGTCCTGAATCTCTTTGGGTTGCCTATCCTCTTTATTTTTTTCTTTCCGTATATTGGAAAGTTTTTCTTCTTGTTCACTTATTCAGAGTGGAATCTAAAATTGTCCCCAAAATTTGCTTTTAAGATCTGTCTGCTGACCATCCCACAATGTTTCTGGTGACACATAGCAGCTTAGTCTTCAATCTTGTTAAACTGGCATGTAAAGCCACCAGAAATGACCCTTTATTTTCCTAAATATCACAAAGTGTGATCTCTGATCTCTGTGCACTGCCAGCAAGCCCTGAGAAAGCACCGCAAACCTGTGCACTACAAAGTGGAGTAGGAGGGATGTGTAAATTTTATATAGAAATATATAAAAACGTACCGGAAAGTTGAGAAATCTCCAGAAATAATGGATTGAAGTGAGAGCAAAACCAAAAGTCTTAACAACCATGAGAACTCTTCCTCTTCCTTCACAATGGAGAGGAATTTAACTGAGTGAACTTCATAAAGTCGGTGTTAACTCTGCACATCAGTACGGGTAGCACCCGAGATGTTTCACCATGTGAGGAGCTGCATGATTTAAACAAAGATTTGTAGCTCTAGAAACCAGAAAGGAAACATAGAAGACAGAAGTCCTTATAAGCAGGGCCTTTATCTGCGATTGCCCCTATATAATGATGGTGCTGGAGGTGGGATGGATGGATGGATGGATGGATGGGTAGGCATTGTCATTGCAGCTCCGAGCTGGCTTTGGTCATGCACTGTCACACCCCTGCATGCTTCACGCAGAACAAGATGAGCCTGTGCCCCACTGAGACCCCACAGTGTAAGTATCAGGCAAGAAATTAAGTGATTTTTGTAGTGACCCGCAATCTCGGGTGGAAGGAGCTACAGAAATATTGTTAAGCAGTCATCTGCTAAAGAATGCGCTTGTTCTGAGTTAGGGATGGCTGCGTTTATAATGACAACGGGTGTTTTCTGCTGCTACTTGGAGATATCGATTCCCTCAGAATTAATGATGCATTTGGGAGAATGGAGTTGAAGATACAAATTTTAGAGATGGTAAAAACTGCACCTGGTGCTTTAGGTGCACAGAAAGAAAAATCAAGAGCCTTTGAATATGTGTGATTTTAATGCTGTTAGAGAGTCCTCAAGAGAAGAAACAACTTGAGGATACCTGCAGAATGAAAGGAAAACCTTAAAAGCCACCTTACTGGGGGCTTTATTACTCAAAAGATCCATATTCTGCAGGTACCTTTGATATTCAATAAGCTTCCAAATCACTGATAAACTTACTGGAAGTTGGCCATTGAGAAGTATTGACTTTGTATAATTGTTCATCAGGGCTTTTTTGCATTGCCTGTCTCAGGTTCTTCACTCACTACAGTAGGAATTTACTTCTTACAGATTTGCTAACAGTTGGAAAGGGGGGAAAAAGAAACCTTTATTGACAGTAGATTTTTAAAATTCGTTTCCTATAATTTCCTTTTTCTTTGAAAGGAGAAGAGGAAAACAGTTTCAAGATGAGTTCTACTTAAGAAAGTAACACCGAAGTCAGAGCAAGGAACTGAGAAATTGTTTATGCATATGGTATTCAGGGTAGAGAAATCTATATGACTTCCTTTCAAAGCTAGGTGTCTTACTGTCTGCTTTCATTACTTTAAGCATAACTCTTCCACAGCATTACCTTTGAAGAGCTGAGGTAGAGCCGTGGCGTTTCACAAAGTTTGACAGAAGAGCTTGTGACTGCTCTTGTCTTGACGTGTGGTTATTCCCTGTTTGTGATGCTGACATTGCCATCAGAGGGGCTGTGTTTATCCTGATGTGATTTTACTATTTAATTTGACTGGCTCAAAAGTTTAGTTTAACCTCGAATTACTGTTGAAGAAGAACCAGGCAGTTTCTTTGCCTTGTGCCCTCATCTCATTGCTTAAGATCCTATAGTTCAAATGTGAGCAGTATTTCTCTTGTCATTACACCAGGTAGGAGGAAATCACAATTATAATCTGTGGGACTTTGCAATGCCAGTAGAGGTTTAAAATCCATGTGATCAGGGGAATATACAAAAAGCATGAGCATAACAGTCTTCCTGATCTATGCCTGAGTCTACAACTACACTGTAACATGGATCCTTTTTTCTGTTTTCGCTCTGTATCTCCACAGTGATTCAACTGAAATCGGTAGAAATATCTGGTGTAAAACTGGTGTGAGCAGGACCAGTCCAATACAGCATTGTTTGTTGGGTTTACTATTTCAGAAAAGCCACATTGGCAGGAAGTAATGAAGGCTTTAGTATTCTGCCTCATGCATTTCAGTAGGACGTAGGCTTTGGAGGGTTTTTATGCATGCAGGTCAGGGATCAGTGGGGCTCACTTCACTCCAGAGATGTCCCATGTGTGGTCAGGTATCTCCCTTCTCTGCCATAGCCTTCTCTCCCAAAGCTAAGTGATAAGAGAAGACCCAAGAGAGGTGAGAAAGCTTTGCAAGAGAGACGTAAATGTGGTAAAAATGCATGGAGTGCTTGACCAGACCTTGCCTTTCTCATCTCAACCAGCTATTGCTGGCACCGAGGCCTTACCCATGGGTCCTTGCAAGAAGTTACGAAATTCTGTCTTACATTAATGAGTTTCCACTGTTCTCGCAGCACACTGGTGACAGCCACACACAGCTCGTGCCTTGGGGAGCTCTGGTCATTGTCATTACATGATGCAACGCTCTGATTTCTCTTGGTTTTCTGCACCAGGACGAGGAGGAGATGGAGGAAGCCACCAATCAAAAGCTCGCCCTACAAAAGGCCAAGGAAGTGGCAGAAGTCAGCCCGATGTCTGCAGCTAACATTTCCATAGCGGCGTAAGCATTATTTTATTATTTGGGCATTTGACCATTTGGTTTCTGTTTTTCAGTGTCAGTATGTGTCTGTTCAACTGGAGCATCCCATAGTACTCTGTGAGCCCTGTTAAACCATCTCTGTTTCTGACAGGGCTTTAGGCTGACTGAATACTTCAGTGCTGACTGCTTAACCATGAATTGAATTAAGTATTTATTTTAGCTTGTTTTTCTTTGTAATGCCACATCTTTTGTCTTGTCTGTAAATAACTGCATTTTAGAGGGTTTTTTTTTAAGCTGTCCTCGGATAGATTTCACCAGGTGAAGTGTTATCGTTTCACTTTGGGTTTTTAATTACAAAAGGTATGTATGCACACAATCTATCAACTATTCTTTAATGATCTCTGCTTTGAGAATTTAAGTCTAAAGGCATCATTCTAAATATCAGACTGAAAAAAATACGCTTGACTGCTCTTTCTTTGCTGTTTGAAAGAGTGCTGGGCTTAATAAAATCAGGTACGTGAACAGTCACTGGTTTGTAGCTAGAAATATCAATTTGGATCTTGAGATGCAGGCTTTTCTGCATGGGTGCGGACATATGCACAGTTTCTGTGATACCAGAAAACCTTAGAAAACATTACCTCGGGGCCCACCTTTCCATAGACACTGATCTAAACCGAAGTGAAAAAATTTTCTGTAGGTGGGAATACTTGTCCAGATGTTGCTGAGGTCAGTGCAGAGTTCTACCTGCAAGGGAGGATTGAGAGGTGCCTACCTTGTGTGGATTGACTGAAAAGCATCTTCTTGAAGTTTCATCTGCCTCTTAGGGAATTTTAGTATCAGGGCAACCAGCATAAAAATTCTGGCTCTGGATTTTTTTATTGCAAAGTATCTGAAATGCAGCAGAATCCCTGCTTGTGCCTTCAGTGTAAATCTCTTGAGCCCTTTGTTACTGAGAGTTGAATCCTCTTCATTGAAGACAATAGGCTAAATGGAGCCAGTTCATCATATGCGAAGACAAAGAATAATATTAATTTATCTATTTTATTCTTCTTGCCCTTTTATTTTGCCTTTACTGCTTTAATCAGCTTCTATTTATGCTCTATCTGTTTGTTGGTTTTAAATATAATCCTTTCCTTACAATGATTTCCTGTCCAGTTTTGAAAAGAAGTCAAATGAGGATATTCGCTCTTCTTCTTTGATGAATTTCCTGGTACTGTTATTTTGAAATGCAAGATAATAATGCCTATTTTCTTCTTTTTTAATCAAAAGCATAGTGCATGTGAAGATTTCATAGAAATCAGCAAAAGAAAGCAATGGAGCAAAGCTTTTTGCACCACACAGTTAGTTACTTAAAATAACCTTATTCCCTGATTTTTCACCAGGCTTTCACCTGGTATTCAGTATCACAGGGCCAGTTTTGTGACCACAATTGAAAGTGAGTACAAAATTGTGACTTTCTCTTTATTTTGCCTCCAGATTTATCTGCCCAGTTCCCTACCTGCCACACTTGCACAGGCAGGTAATTAGGCTTACAAACATGCACCTCTGAAAGTGCAGCCGATCGCTTCCATGTCTCCGAACCATGACAACGTCTGGCAAAGCCATGGGACTTTAATTTGGGGGGACAAAAAAAAGCGTTAAGGTCGATAGGTTGGTGACTGAATGGATAATGACACGGAGGAGAAGGCAAAGGGGAAGCTGGGTGTTTTGGGACACAGCAGTAGATGTATGGATGGATTGCTGGCTGATGATCCAAAAGTTATTTAATGAACGCCTGCCCAAGCAATTTGTTTAATACATAAACACACCCATCGTGAACTCCAAAGGACCTTAGTAGCTACAGCTTTCAGGCCTGCACTGCCTCTCCCTTAGCTCTCCCTATCCAGAAGGGTGACAATGGGGACCCACGGGCAACAGCCAGATGTGCCTCATTGCTTCATTTCTTACTGCCTTGAGCTACACAGTGATCCTGAAGATGGAGCAAATGCCGTGTGGATGGCAAGACCTGTCAGATCAAGCCTCTGAGACAACTCAGAGCTGGACATGCTGAGAATGAAAAAGTCCTGGGGATGTTTGGAAATGGGATTTTTGGCATATGGAAAAGTCCCTGCAAAAACCAAACACCTGTAGAGCTTGGGTACCCTGAAATGGTGATGAATAGGGGCTGGGAAAAACTGGGCCCAAGCTACTAATGCCCTGCTGCAAAGATGGGTCTGCCCTATCGGTTTATAATTTTTTTTTCTCCTAAGGAATATTTTTTTCAGAATTTGATTTTATTTTCATAGTGTATGAAAATGAATTTCTATAACAACAGGCATGGATAGCATGGATCAGTGATCTGAAAACATCAATGTTTTCTCTACCTGCATCCATCAAAGCAGGTCTCTTGGGTCTTAGCAGAGGGCACCATGACTTGCATGTCCTTAGCTGTTTGTGTTCCTGATGTGCTTGTCCACCTCCCAGAGAGGTGACAAAGCCACCCTGGGGCTGAGTCTGGTGAAAAGCCCTATTGGTGGTTCTGCTGTTTCACCAGCAAGGTGCTGTGCTCACTGTTTTGCTGCTTTCCCTTGTCAGTCCTACACCAAGGACTGAGACCGTGTCTCCCCCATAGCCTCCTCCAGGTCACTGCATCCTCTGGCACGTTGTATCTACTCCTCCACCTCCAGCAGTTTTCCCATGCAAATTCAGTGTGCACTCATGGTTTATCTGCATTGGTTCTTCTGCTCTCCTCTGCCACTCCAGCCCCTCTTCACAACTGAGCTCCAGGAAATGTTCAATTTATTGCATCAGTTGCAAAATGTCACTTCATAGGCTTAAGAAACTCGTTGCTTGTTTGGATGTCAGCCTGCTTGGAGGGTCCGGAGAGGCACGTGCGCCCCAACACACGCAATAGGCTGCTGTGTGAGCCACAAATTGTTGTGTGGTTGATAGATGGTGTCATGGGGATCTGTTTTAATAATATAATTACAGTGGCATCGAGATATCATCTATCTTGCAACAGCCTCAAAGTGCTTTATTACAATATTCTACCTGTATTTGGTTTGTCGCTCCTGCTTCATCCATCTCTCAGGATTTCTATGATTTGTCTTCTGCTCCACCAAAGGAACTTAATGGGAACAGATCTGTCCAGTTTGTTTTTTCACCTGGTGAACTCTATCCTGAACGGGCCTTTTTGTTTTGTGGTTTTTCAGGTCTAAAAACTAGGTTGGTAGGTTGTTGTTGTTGTCACTGTTGCAATGTTTGGTTTAAAACAGAATATCTGTTTAACATGTGTTACTGCCTTTTAATTTGAGCCCATTGTTTCATTCTTATTTTTGTCAATTTTTTTTTTGTTTTCTGTTTAGCATTTTCCTTGCTTTGTTGTTTCTGGAGGTGAGTTTCTGGGTTTGTTCAGTTTGCCCAGCATTGTCTTTAAGACCCTCTGTTTAGTATGACATTTAAACCACTTGGCCTCTCAAACTGAGCGACTGTACAGACCAGCGGGTCTTCAGAGCAAACCATTGGTGCAGCTTCCTTGGCGGTGGGAATGGAGGAGGGGGGAAAAGGGGGCAATTACACAGGTGATGGATGTGCCAAGCACTTTGTGATCCCACTGGGAAGGCACCAGTGGAAGAGAGAGCCATGACGCCCATTCCTGTGGGTGACATGAAGACCTCAGTGCAAACCTAGTTTTATTTTCTGTATTTGCCTAAGCTGATGCCTGAACTCCCCGTATTTGAGTTCCTCCTCCACCTTTTCTGTTCCAGCCAGAGATGCACCAATGGCCCGTACAAAAGGGGCTGTGATGAGCACACCTAGCCTGGCGCAGGCCAGCAGAGCAGCCGGAGAGGACACAAGCTGTGGCTCACCCAGAACCCAGAGCCCGTGGGTTTCTCAATTGCCTCCCCTTCACCTTTTCTTGGGAAAAGTCTTAAAATAGCCATCACAGCAGCAAGCAAACATTAAATTTGTAGGAACCTGCTAAGCAGTTACGCTGAAGTCAGGCTGAGTGAACCTTTTTGCATTGTACTACTTAGAGGATTTTTTTAACTCCATGTGGGTTACAACTGTAGCAGACCCAAGAAGGTTATTCAGGGTAGGCTGTAGGCTGTGGGAGAACTTCCCTGATGAGGTGGATGAAACTTTGTATAAAGTGGCAGAGACAGTTCATGATTCGTGGGCACCAGAGCTCAGCACTGTCTGTAGAATTGCCCACTGCTGTTTTTTCAAAGTTACATATGCTTCCCAGGACAACTTTCCAGCCTCTAAAGCCCTCTTCCCCTTGCCAGGCTCTGACTGGTTTCTGCTGGTCCCTCACATGGTTGTTCAAAGTGGTTTACATTGTAATTGCACACCCACAGGTAGATACTGCCTGTTAACATGAACAAGCTGACTACTCACTATAAAAGTGCCAAGAGCAAATGCAGGTGGCACATCATTTCACAGGGTGTCCGTCCCTTTTGTACAGGTCTGGGAATGAAGGGGGGGTGGGTGCTCTGTTTCTCCAGGACATTTTCCATCTCAGAGGCTCCATATTTTCCTTTTGTCTTGGGAATACTGTGGTCTGTTGCCAAATCCCTGTTGGGCTGCCAGTACCCAACAGGACCCAGCAAGAAGCGTGCCTGAACACCCAGCCCATGAAACGTCCTGTGTTGGGTGATGTGTAGACTAGAAGAGGTGTTCTTTTTCTCTTGCTGGCTTGTGATTTCTTCCCTTTCTTTTTTCCCCCTTGACTTGTGTTGATGTGTGAGGTACTGTGATTCCTCCCATTAGTTTACCTTGTTGCCCTTGCTGTTGGTGTAACAGGGACTGAGTTACACCTAAAGACACCCTCTTGTACTCTGTCCCTCATGGATGGTAAGTAGCAGCAAGTAAAGCTCAAGCACTTCTGTCATTCTGATTTGGAAAAGGAGGCCCTCTCTGCTTCATGGCTTTACACCCTGCAGCTCCAGCACAAATGTAGTCAAATTTATGGTTTCAAAAAAGCAGACTCCAGCAATGGGAGAAGAGGAGGGAACCTGGAGTGCTGCAGGACTTGCATA